GAGAGAGAGAGAGAGAGAGAGAGAGAGAGAGAGAGAGATCAGGAATATCTTCCCTTGCACACAATGCACGATGATAACGAATGTACAATCTTTTCTCTCAGGTGCAGCCAAATGGCTCGCATCTGGAAAACAAAAGAAAAGGGCAAATTGCAGAAACACCCGTTTGGGGAAGTATAGTAGAAAGTATATCTGTTCACCCCATTATGGCCACAAACATACCTGGAAAGGTGCAGAAATACCGTCAACTTTTGGCATAGTTTGGAACGAGATTTACAGAGGGTCTCGCTCCACTACTATACACTCTCCGAATTTGGAGAGTTCGGCATCGCTCCACTTACTGTGCACTATACACGTGCCAAATCGCTTGGATAGCTGTCAGATATCCGTCGGAGATTGCACTCTCCGTCGGTGTATAGTTCCCAGCCTGCAAAAGTGTTACTCGGATACTCCTCAAAGGAAACCACAGACCCGCTGGGTTTTTGTATGGTGAACCTCAAGTCTGGACGGACAAATTGCTGTCTTCTAGTGCTGTTAGGGTGTTGCATAGTGAACTCAGGAACTGGAGACTTTGTATAGCAGATAGTAACTGGAGCGACGCCGGGTTCTATACATTTTTTCGTGGTCTGACAGCTATACGGCAACTATACGAAATTGTGTATAGCGGACAGTAGTGGAGAGAGACCCAGAGACCTGTTCGCCTGGACTCCGCCAAGCACTCCAGGGCAGGTGGTCCTCTGGGCCTACCCGTAGTTGCACTACTCCGCGTACTCGCCTCCCCCTCAATTCGTGGCGGATAGGTGGAGAGTGAACAAAATGAAAAAAATGAGAATGGTGTCGAACTGGAGGCCTGGTTGCACTTACTCGCCACAAAATTTCTTCTACAGAAAAGTTTAAAAATTGTGTCTGCCTGATCTGGACTCGTGAAGCCCAGCACTCTCCAGAAAGTTGTTTTGTGTAGAGGTCCGAGGACCACCACCCTCCACAAACCGCCGTGCACAGGCGGGGAAACCGAAAACACTCTCCACAACTTGTGTCGACGGTGGCCGTATGGGGAGTAGGGCAACTAGGCCCTCAGTTGCAAAAGGAGGTACTGCCGGTGTATTTGCCGCGGAAGAAAGAGCCCACCCGTATATCCCACCGATAAATCTGCATCGAAACTTTTGAAAAGGGGTATTTGTGCAACTTTGCCGGCATATTTCTCGGAATACACGGACAGACCGGTATTTTTGCTACGATACTTCTCTGAAACGGGATATGTAATTTGTTCGAAAAGGAACGAAAGAAAGAATAAAAGAAAGAAAGGAGGAAAAGAAGGGGGGAAGTGGGAGAGGGAAAGGGGAGGAGAGAGAGAGAGAGAGAGAGAGAGAGAGCATGTGCTCTGATGTCTTTCGCCGAACACAATCCACACAATGTGTAAGAGAGAGAGAGAGAGAGAGAGAGAGAGAGAGAGAGAGAGAGAGAGAGAGAGAGAACGTGCTCTAAAGTCTTTCGCAGAACACAAGCCTGATAGAAAAGGTATACAAGCTATCTTTCCCCTCTGGTGCAGAGAAAATTAAGGTGCGCGTGTTCGGAGGAAGAGGGTAGTGCGAGGGGAGGGACGGGGTAAGGGGGAGACCCAGAAACATCTTCTCCTTCCTCTTCTTCTCCTCCTCAAAATCTTTGATGCCCTATCCTCATTTTAACTTGTGCGGGGACTGCTGAACAGTATGCTCCTCCTTCTTCTTCGCCTCCTCTTCATCCACTTCTTTTCCCCATCCTCGGTCGCTGCGGCACGTGCACTGTCGAACAGCGCGCCCTTCCATCATTCCACACGATAACAAAAGAACAGAACCTAGGTACTGTAGGGGGGGAGTTCGTAGCGGGCTGTTACCTGTTCCAAACGATGCGAGCGAGATCGTGCGCGCGCGCGCGCGAGAGAGAGAGAGAGAGAGGGGGGGGGGGACAGGAACACTATACACTGACTCAGCGCACTGAGTCTCAATAAGATCTACTCATTTTTACCCGGTATCGACACTCACGTAAAGTCAATTAACTGCACAGATCTGCTGAAACGTACGGCACACAAGAATACTTTCGACATATTACAAACGAAGCGAGCGAGCACGCGCCTGTGTGTGTGTGTGAGAGAGAGAGAGACAGACAGAGAGAGACACGGACACAAACAGAGAGAGAGAGAGAGAGAGAGAGAGAGAGAGAGAGAGAGAGAGAGAGAGAGAGAGAGAGAGAGAG